CTACGCTCGTGAAAGCAATACAACGAACTCAAACGCGTCTTCGTTCAATGTTGTCAACTAATATCCGGATTAATTTTATGCAAATTTTCCTCAATTCTCCGGAGAAATTTTCATAAAAATTTGAAAAACCCGGAATTCCGGGAAAATCCGGAGGACTTTCATCTCTGCATGATGTTGTTTGAGTGCTGTACATACCCATGCACGTCCCCCCCCCCCCCTCCAAAACATTTTGAGTTGACGATACACTCTGATTTTGGAGAATTTAATCAAGTACAGTATGAACATCAGCCACCAGTGGTCACTGTCATAGTGTCCCCAAAACGGTTTGCCCTCAAAGCTCCCAAATGTGCATGAATTGAAATGGAATTGAAATAAATAAATCAAATAACTGCTCCGGGTTGGTGTCGACATTTTATGCAGGGAGTTACTTAACTTACAAAAATTCAGTACAGTAAACAGTGTTTCATTCAAAATAAAAATCTATTTTCTACATAGGTGGGGACAATTGATACAGGTCCGTAACAAACTATGGTTAAAGTTGTCAAAGTTAGCATCTTTCTTTTCAACATGGGCTGGATGCAACATAATCGAACAAATTGTGGAAAAAGAAAAGAAGCAGCTATTAATGGTACCATAATCTCTTACCAATGAGCGAGACTGACAGATAGTCCCATAAATATACCTAAATGCAGAGCAAGCACAGACATCACCATTCAAGCAAAATGCTCCTAGACATTTTATCTTAGTCCACATCAGGTTGCACAGTCCCATTTTCTCACTTTGCGTCCATCTATCCATCCAGGCAGGCAGGCAGGAGTGTGCTATGTTGCAGTGTATATGATGATTCCAACTACGATGAGGGCCACGACCACTGCAACTGCAATTAAGGCTATTTTCACCTTCTTATTTTTCCATCTTGTTTTTTCCTTCACCTGGTTGGATTTCTTTTCAAACGCTCTACTCTGGATAAAAACAAAGAGAGACATAGAAGGTTATATTGATGTTGCCTTTTGATGCAAGCCTGGCTAACAAACAACTGTTGCTGGAAGAGTTGTGAAAGCACACGTGTTGGGCTTTTGACCAAAAGCGGCTTCCTGATGAAACATTTAATGGGAAACAGTCCGACACGATCCAAGGGAAATCAAATTGAATTTTCTATGAAAGACGTTCAACAACTGGGATTTATTCTCACTCGCATATGCAGCAGTTGAGGAAGATGATTGGCTACAGGTCCAGCACATTGCCCAAAAACTGGCATCGATAATAATGCCGATTTTCAGCTCGATGTGTCAATACACCAACTGCAATCTAGCAACAGCTTGAATCACCAACAGGCCCGCCCATCCACGAGATGAAACGTTTACCTTATAAATCAAATCAATGGACAATGACTTTGTGTATGAATTCAGTAAGATGACTCTGTCAAATCTATTGAATTTTTTTTTCTAATGCGGATATACGCACACAGACAGAGAGAGAGAGAGAGAGAGAGAGAGAGTGAGAGAGTGGTGTGTGTGGGTGTGTGGGTGTGTGTGTGTGTGTGTGTGTGTGTGTGTGTGTGCGTGTGTGTGTGTGTGTGTGTGTGTGCGTGTAGAAAAAAACAGATGGGCCAAAACACATTTGTGTTTACAGTAGGCTTAAAGAAATGTTTAATTCTATTAAATAAAAAATCTGAAACAGATTAAATAATAACCTGAGTTTATCTGCACATTTATTTAAAGTTAACACAGAAATCAATACAGTTTGAGGTTAATCATCAATATAATGCACACAAAGTTAAGCTTTTGAGAAAATCTACTCATGAGCATACAATACTTCTATTTCTTACTCTTGTGTAATGCCCTCGCCTGGTGGCAAGCAGAGCCACAGTCACCGATGCACTTTCAATCATTTATTGAATGAGACAAAGGGTCAAACCCACAAATGGAAAATGAGAACACTCGCAAGGAGCTCATGAAGGACACAACTCACGCACAGATGCTCACACAGCACTTGATGCCACTCACTACACCACACCCGTTAAAGGCACACATTTTGTGAACAAGTAACAAAAAAAATTGTGTTTGTTTGTTTGTTGTTGAATCAGTTCAGGGAGTTCCCGTCTACTGTCCGAAGATAGCTGGAATAGGCTTTGGCGTACTCCCGACCATTGTGAGGATAAGCGGATGAGAAAATGGATGGATGGATGTTTGTTGCTCATAAATTGCTTTTCAATTAAACATTGATTGCCCTTTCAACTTTATGAGTATATTGAGTTACAAGTCGCGGAGGTAAAGTCATGAAGTTGTTGATGAGGAGGCTTGTTTATTTGTGTTGAGTGATGTGTCTGAACACCACATACACACAGTGTAGTGTGTGAATCGCTGCCTCCATGTGTGAAAAGACTTCATGTATTCGGCGCCGCGACCACGAATAGATGCCACTTGCTTGTCTAGCCCCACCCCTGATCATCAGAGTAACAAAATCCATACTTGCCATTGGCTCAGCGTATAAGGTGTATGGTGGGGTCACATGAGACAGGACCACCCTCTCAAACCGTCCAATTTCAGGCAGCATGGAAATATGGTGCAACACAGACACCTGGGAACTGTTTTTAGATGTAAAAGATTACAACATGTGCACTGAGCAAAGTTACGGCAATGCTTTGTGATGCTGAGATTATCGTAAGCATTATTTTTTATGATTACCGTGAGCAAGAGTCATTGGAGCTACTGTTGAGTTGAGGGGGATTGGAAGGAAAGAAAAAAAAAAAACTAACTAAAAACTTTGGTGCAATCCCGAGGAGCCGTGCTCCTTATCCATGTGATCTCAAAGACTCTCTGAGTGTAAAAATGTGAGCTGCCCTGTCCAATATTGTGACATAACACCACCCAACAGGGGATGTGGGAACGATGTGACCCCCCCGTTGACCTCCGGACGAACACTGGCCTCATGGCATATCCTGCGCTCGCTCGGTTATACCCAGGGAGACCCGTTCACTTCATCTCAACAAAAGGAAATACCTCTCCAAAAATAGCACCATAAAGCACAATCAGGATGTAAATTGTACATTTGTTTTCCTCTCCAGCTCCACCTTAACTGTATTTATAAACAATCAATTTGACATGTCTGTTTTTGGATACACGATACCGGCGGAAGGGGTCCATTACATCACTAACCAATGGAATTTTGCAAATGAAAGGCGGAAGTAGTGCGGTACAAAACAAAATGAATAGTGATGACTTTTGGGAAGCCTGCCTGCCAACCTTTCTTAACAGCTCATCAGCTCTGTCTTCCAGGTCACCCAGTTTTCCAGATCGCTCATCCACCTTGCTCAGGTTGTCCAGCATGATGTCCTTCACCTCCTCCGCATCGTCCTGGGCCTGCTGCAATCGGCTTTTCCCATTCTGCTTTGCAAACACACACAGAGCGGATACAGACACATGGGCGGTTACTCTGCTCATTTGGCAAATGAAGCAACTACTAAAGAAGATGGGAGGGAAAAAAGATGACTTGTGTATTTCTTTCTTTAATCTTTCTTAGATCAGTTACCTTACATATTTTGGGTAAGAAAGCACTTTCCAATGCAGAGTTTTGGCAAAGATTGTTCATGGAGACAAACAGACACCAAAAATCCAAATTTAATACATGAATCCAAGTACAGTAGGAAAATAGATTGCAGCAGAATTTTAGTCTGTCCATAAATATTAGGTAGTACAGTATATTTCATAGGAAAACAATTACTGGGCAACACACTGGAAGAGTGGATTGTTGCTACAACATAGCACTATTCTACAATACTCAACTAAGCTTGCCTTTCAGTAGCTTTCACATAACATTCATGCTAAGTTGGCACATCAGACGCAGAACAGTCGAGCCAGTGTATCTCACTCTAAAGTTCGCTGCATGGTTCAGGATATGAAAGGGGTACAAAATTGATGGATAGATGGTACTACACAATGTTTATCTTAAATTCTATGATCAAAAATTAACTTGAGGTCATTTTCTAAGTAGTGTCCTCTGTCCATCCATTTTCTATAGCGCTCGTCTTCATTATACTGTACATTGTACTGTGATGTACACGTTTTGAAACATCCAATGTGGAAGCGAAAAATTGGACTCCATTTTTGAACGGTTCCAGAATGCTCCTGACAATGACATCACTGTGATCGGCTACAGCATCTCCTCATGAACGAGAGTTCCTTCACACAGAATTCTCTCATAACCATGTCCAGAATTCAGATTCCGTGTCAGAAAAATGTTATTTGCCTGGTGTTACTTTTCATAAATTAAGTTGACTGAAAGTCAGGAAGTCTAAATAAAAGACCCCGTAAGAGTAAATCCGATCCTGCCCGTGCAGTCTATAATCGAAGATGAAAGCAACATCATATTCCTGCGCACCCTTTTCTCTACTTCTAGAATAACAACCATTCAAGTTTATGTTGAAGTAGGAAATAAGCACCTTTCACAAAACCAAAAAGGCATTAAGATTAAATTATGATTGCTTGGCCTCATCAATGTTGGTTGAAAAAGTAATACCGGTAGCTTAAAGGGAAAAACTAATGTTGTAAGACATCAAAATGAAGTCAAACCAGTTTTCTCACTCCTCTGCACAGTGTTAACAACAACAGGTGACGAGGTTGGCAGTGTCTTCCGAAAACTTGCGATGGGAGCACTGAAAGTGTAATTAGTACGACGACCCTTTGACATCTGTATTGTGAGAAAGAGAGGAAGCCGACATCTTAGAAGTTGACAGTGACAGGAAACTAGAGCAGCAAAACAGTTCATAATTCAGTGTCATTTCCTGCCACAAACCAACGGCGTTAGCAAACACGAGTAAACCTGACGCTTATAAATGTTAAGATGAAATGAACCGAAGCCTTCACGGTGCCATTTTTTTTCCACGATGTTACCACAGCCAAATGGTAGCAATAAAAGAACAATGGCCCGTTTTAATTGAAGCTGGCAACTGCTGCCCATTCCAGTTCCCGTCCTTGCTTCCTTCCTTTGCTCCCTCCCTCTGTCCCTGCTGCCAACATTACCTGCCATAATGCTGCGTGTCCAAGGAAACCACACCCGCATCATGTTATTTCATGCCCGTGACAGTATGGAATGCTACTATCCTAGTACCACTAATATCATCAGTGTTATGACCTAATAGTAATAAGAATCGATGTTGACTGAAAGCAAAGGTGGAAAAAGTTGTCACACTCTACTTACTTTAAGTACAAGTATTAACACTCTGGTCAAAGTAGAAGTACTGAGACAAGTTGTGTACTTAAGTAAACTAAATTGTTTTCCTCTTTTAATACTTGTAGAGCTCATACCGAGAAGAAAACAACATCACGTTAGATGTTGCATGTTGTGAAAAAAACACATTCCCTTAGCTTTGCTAATGTTGTGAACTGGGTTTCAAAAAACATGACAAATTAGCCAATAATATCATCTGAAAAAATTAATTTTACTTGTCTGGGTTTTTTTTCCGATGAGAGAATTTTTACTTGTGTTTTTTTAGGCTGTAACCAGTCACAACACCTTTGTAATGAATAATTCTTGTTACTTACAACTACCAACAATTCTCATTAAAAAAACATGGAAAAGGAATAGCTTGCTTCTTTGTATCTGTTGCCTTGTTTCCAATATTGTAATCACTCAAAAGCAAACAATCAAGACCTCAACTGTGCTTCACTTTACCTCTATATTTACATCTTTTTTTACGCTGTCAGTTGAAAACTCCAACAAGCCTGTTTTGAAAATTATAGATATGTGATTTCAAATATAGTGAGTAAAAGTAGGAAGACTAATCACAAAATAAATACTCAAGTACAAATATCTGAAAATAAATAAATAAATGAAAGCAAGTACGGAACATGCTAGACTGAATTGTAGCTTTGAATACAGCCTTTTTTTCCAAAACAAAATCCAGAACAGTATTTTTTTTACTTTAATGTGCATTATGTTATATATTTATGTATTATACATTCTTTAAGTTGAGTTAAATTGTATCTAACACTCCTTTGTTTCTAAATATTTATAAAGTATTCAATACATTTTCATTGAACCATTCCAGTGCTGTTTTTATTTTCCTCTATGTTAGCGCAGTGTTCATGTTACAGTGGCTTACAATAACAAGTGTAGTTTTTAGGAATAAAACTTATGTTTCTGCTGAGCACTTAGGCCTACTACGTTACTGTATTTCAATGGTGGCCACGATATGGTACGTGAAAAAAAAAATACAAAACGGACAGTTACAGTGACTTTTGAAGTTCTCCCTTTTTCATGAATTTCATAATACCAAACGATGCTGCTTCAGTGAAAAATCAAATGGCTCTTTTGTGTCGTTTAATGAGTTACAAACATGATTAAAAGACATTGAAGGGAGTGGGGGAGCCTATCAGGTTTTCCCAATAAAGCGAAGTGCCCTTGGCGTGACACGACAGGTAGAGTACAGGTAAATGTTAACGATTGACAGCCGCCGACTCACCATTTCGCTGGCGTCTGTGTTTGGCTGTGGTGGTGCGGCAGCTGTCCCAGATCGACTGCATTTACTGCTCGCGAGAAGCTTTATAACAGCCCTGGGAACAGGAAGCAACACATAAGGAAGACGCGGCGTTTTACGAAGGTCGCGCTGCGTTTGAGGACTTTCCCTTCCCTCTGTTCGGCTTTCTTTTCAATAGTTTGCTTCTTTCAACTTTGCTCAGGCGTCTGTTCTCGGACACCCGAGTCCACTTGGCGCTGTTTAACAGATGCGTTCAGGTAGCCCCGGAAATTATGACATGTTCATGTGATTGAACAAACACCTCGTCCTGATTAAATAACCGATGTTCTTTGTGTGATCGTTTGTTTTCTTTGAATAACTGAATCTTATACGAAGACGGAAATACTCGTAACGATGTAGGACAAGGTAACGTCTGAATTTTTAGATGAGGCTGGAGATACCCGAAGATGCTAAATATAGTTAAAATGCGGGTCTGTTTAAAATGGTTACCCCGAGGTAAAGACCTATTTTTAAAATGTCTGTCATAGTCTGGTGATTATATCTGTGTCCGACTAGACCGAGGAAATGCAAATGTATCAAGGGCGTTCATGACGAGTTGATAATTAACGCTATAAAATACCCCGGTAACCCATCGCATCGTAATTTAACGTAATGAACGTATCACAAAAAAGTTTGCTGGGCTGTACTTTCGCTAATCGACCCACCAAGCACCAGTGAATTGATAGCGAACGCATAATTTCCAGGGGTACTAAATGCATCAGTGCTTAGTCTGACATTCCTTCAGCAGAAATCTATCAAAGGAAGACCCGGGGGCCACATATGGGCTACGATGTCATTTTTTTTGGTCCACTAAAGACGATAAAGTGTGTCTACTTTGCCTCTTGCTAAATGTGTTTCATATAACTTTTCCAGACACTTCACGTGTATTACGACCAATTACCGCTTCAAATCCTTTCTTAACATACATTGAACACTATTTTCAATGACCACCAATTTTAAATTCAATTTGTTGGTAAATCATAAATGATCAAATGCCAGGGGGAGTTGCATATGATTTAATAAAATAGGTAATAATATGGTAGTTCACAGGTGTCAAAGTCAAGGCCCATCATTTTATGTGGCCCGCAAAATCAAACCAAGCATGTCAAGTTCCATGATGCTTGTCTGAACCAAAATTTCAAATTGTCATAAGTAATCCACAACAACAGTCATTATTTTTTCGTTCTGATTTTAAAACTAGTTATCCATCAAATTGTTGTGCGCTGTATATGTAATATCAGGAGGTGATTAAACATTTATATGGTTTCCCAAAATTCATAACGGCCCTCCAAGGGAAACCGTAATTACAATGTGGCCCGCAACAAAAATTAGTTGATTACATACTGTACATTGAAATGGTTTTTAGTTTCATGTTTATCTGTGGCAGACAGTGCTCAGTTATACAGGTACTATAACCAGTACCTTTTATGTGAATAAACAATTCATACCGGCCCTCTGTCCAACCTTAGCATAATTCTGTCACACAGCAGTGAATGTATTAAAATAGGGAAAACACATGAAACACATCTCCACTTTTTACTATGATAGTACAAGCAAGGCAGTATGCTTGCATTATATAGGCAACATGCATTTTTTAAATCATTAAAACCCTGGAGAACCCATGGGGTCACATTTGGCCCCTATAAATTCTGCTACTCAAATGCTACCCTTAAATCCCAAAGGGTCAAATCTGGCCCTCATCCTAAATTAGGATTAAAGCATTGAATATTTGAAAATACATATATTTTGGTGTTCAGTGAACATATAGCAGTCATTTAATGTATAATTCATCATTTTCCAAAGAAGAAAAGGGTTCTTGGGTTCTCCAGGGTTAAAACATGCTATGAACATTGAAATGCAGCAGACCTCCCTTCTAATTTTCTGCAGATTATTGCATGATGAGTGACCGCGAATGGGTGTTCTCCCCTTATGTGCAGCACAAGACTACAAAAGGGGGCTGCCTCTCCTCCCTTATGAGTCATATAAAATCCCCATCTAAACACACACTGCGTCACTGGTAGAAAAATTGTGACTTCCCTTTGACCATATTACTATACTTTACAAATACATATTGTGTGCATTTTGAGTTGTGAATTTGACGACTGCGTGGAATTCTTTGCAATGACCGTACAGAAATCAGCACTTCTTGTCTTGTCTCAAATTATGCCCGATTACAGTCCCTTAAAAAATAATGACTGTGACTAGAAGTTAGCATCAAATAAAGTACAGACAGAACCAGGAGTGTTGTGAGGGCGAGTAAGATGATGTTGATTCTAAGGGCTCTAGAAAATACTATTGTCTTTTAATCTGTGGCACTGGATTTGGCCAAAATGAATAGTTTTTCATGGGGCCCGAAAAATCTGGCAGTGCCCCTGACAACGTCTGTCACTCATATAAGCAATTCAAATTATTTCCTGCTTTCTTTGGTTCATCCAATATGGGTTGAAGGATAAGATGAAACACATGCTATGAAGGACAAATTTGGTACTGTTATGGAAAATCATTGTCAGTCCTACACATTCTGATTTAGTAATAATAATAAAAATAACAATAATAATAAAGTAGAGAGCAGGGAAGAGTGAGTCCAGGTACCCCCTTTTGTTGTTCAACTATAAGTAAGTCATCTGGGTTTGTCAAAGTGGCAGCACGGTTGCCTCGTGATTAGCACATCTGCTTCACAGTTCTGAGGATTTGGGTTTGAATGTCATCTCCGGCCTTCATTGTTTACATCTTCTTCCCATGCTTGTGTGTGTTTTCTGTAATATCCTTCGAAGTTCAAAACCACTGTGATAAACTCCAGCCCACGGGCAACCTTATGAGAACAACCCCAACAGGAAATTGATTGATTAATGGAGTACGTCATAATACCTGCAGTGGAATTCGCCCCCGAATGAGTACTTCAAACCAAAATGGCCAACTTCCTGTTCAATGTGGTTAAGTGGTGCTTGGGACTTTTTCTTGTGACCTGATGTGATATACAGTACATGAAGTTTGTGTGAATTGTTGAAACCGGTAATCAGGGCTGATTTTTTTTTTCTACCTTTCCAAGGGGCACCACTGAGTGGGTTTTGGAGTGCGGCGTGTTTTGGGGACTCCTAAAATACATACATTTCACCAGGATATTCACACTTGAAAAAAAAATGGTGCGGCTTTAGGGGCCCATCAAAGGTGAATAATTTGTCAGAAGAAAAATAATGAACAGGAATTCCAAGAGGCTGTTTGCATTGCCTTTATATTTAGAATGTCACTTGTGTGACTGGACTCAAATAATAAAATTACAATAGCAGGAGCCAGATCTAAAAGAGGGCAATGGAATACAATATATACTTTTTTCTTTTTTCAAATCTATGATCATGTCAACCCCATGCTTTATTTTGTTGGATTAATAAAACACCCACCAGTGTCTTCAATACACTTAATATTGTCATTCGTTATTTGTAACATATATATCAAAAATGCAGTTTTATTCCTTCCTCCTTTGGGTTTGTCTGTTGCTATAATTAAAGCAAACTGTATTTCTACCTAATTGTAACTTACTATACTTACTATACCATACAATAGTACGCCATAGTTTAGTCACATAGTCATCTGACAAACTATCTTAATGCGTAATGTAAAAAAAGTGCATACTGCAAAAGACACCATAGAATTTTTGAAGGTGAAAAATTGGAATCTTATAAAATCACCAAGTCAATCACCTGACCTGAATCTGATTGTTGAAGAAAAAACTGAAGGGACAATGCCCGAGGAACAACAAGCAGGAACTGAACTGAATACAGTTGCAGGAGAGGCCTGGCAAAGCATCACCAGGGAGGAAATCCAGCAACTGGGGATCTCTGTGCATTTCAGATTTCAGCCTGTAATTGACTGTTAAGGATCTGCAACCAAGTCTTAAAAAGTGAAACTTTTGGTTGCATGTTGTGTCAATGTCCAAATATGTTTGGACCTAACTGCATCACCATACATAAATCACTGCCAGTGGGCTATTACGTCACTAAGTGCGTCAATATACCGTAATCATCATCGTGCATCAGGTGCTGATTATGATTCAAACAGAAGAAGAACATGAGTCTGTCCAAAAGCGACCGGGGTCAAAGACCCGGCAAAACAAAAGCCTTTTTCAGGGAAAAGCAGCACCAATACAAAGGCCATAGTCAGCATTCCGACCACCATGTTTTCCCATAATTGGCTAATTGTCATCCATGGGTAGTTGACTGGCATCCGCATGACAGTCTGAGCTCTCTCAGACACAAAAGAGCTCTTTTCTCCCCTCCAAGAGCTTGCATTATTCCAAAAACTCATGTTTGGTCATTGGCTAAAACCTTAAGCTTTACCATTTATTTCCTAAACAACATGTTCACATTGTTGGGAAATAGCACTTCACTGTTGAGTCAACAGAGCAGGTGGGCGTGTTGTAACCACCTGTTTCTAATTTCGGGAAATCCATCTTTTGTTTGCTCTCGGTGAAGGTTAAATCGATTTTATTTTGTGTGGCAATTCTGGCCATTGTGAGATAGATATCCTAAAGCAGGTCAATTCTCTGATTTTAAATGCTTCCCCCCAAGAGAATAGTAAAGTGAAAACGAAAACAAATTACATCTGCAAGATCATTGCAAATGTATTTTTTGGGCCACAAAAAAATCTATGTAAACATAGTGATTGCTCACATTATCTACCTCAGTCTGAAAATTCTTGTGGCTGAGTTCACTGTTTAGGCATGTTGGCTCCAAGTTAAGGTGGGCCGGATTTCTTGTACAACAACCCCACCTCCGCCACATCACTTTTTTTTTTTTTAACCTTCTCATTCGAATCCAAGATCCTCTCTAAAATACTGCACGTGCAACATTGAAGAAATCCAGACTTTTCTGCGCTGTTGGCAAATACGTGGATTATAAGTGATTGCAGCTCGGGGACACAAAAACAAAACGTGTGAAATCTACTTCCTCATACTTTCTTCCTGGTTCCTGGCTGGTCATTTGAGGCTCACTGCAAGTCAGTTGGAGACTGTCTCCATCTTGTGTCTAGCCAAAGCTGAACAACAGTAACGCAACTGAAATCATTTCTCATCCAGAAAAAAAGATCAATTGATCTTGATTGGATGGAATGAATAGAATAACTCTTAGGGTCAGTATTATTAAGTTCAGGAAAATCATCCAGAGAGGCATTTAACAGATTTGACAGTGTCATTTCATAATATTAATTTAAAATGGGCAGCATGAGTGAGCGATTGGCCATTGCCTCACAGTCATTTGGTCCTGGGGTCGAATATCTTGAATTGAGTTTACATGTCCTCCCCATTGCTTGCCTAGAATTTCTTCCATCCATATTAGAAAAAGGTGCAAGTTAGGTCAAGTGAAGATTCAACATTTTCCGTCGGTGTGAATGTGAGTGGTTGTTCGTCCAAATGTGCCTGGCAATTGGCTACTGACCAGTCCAGGGTGAACTCGTGCCCAATCAACTTACCGGTCTCTAACGAGGACTAACAATATCAAAAATGAAGTGATTTATCGAAATTGGGTTAGTTGTATCTGCTATTATTTTGCTTTGTTTTACTCTACTGTCACAGCCAGGATGAATAAAGGTTAAACCTGTATGAATAAAGGTTCAATAAATAGTTGGGAAAACTAACAATTTAAACAGTCATTATTAAAAGTCTACACACCCCTGCTGAAATGGCAGGTCTTTTGGAACAGCTGAAATTAATTTGGGGTAAAATAGAAGTACTTAAATTGTGGCAGGTGTGTGCTGACTTCCTTTTAACATGAGCTTGAAGGGGACTGGTTCATTAAGAAATAACACGGTCTGAACACGAACCAGGTGGAGTGTGGATCCCCAAAATGCAGACTCAGATAAACTGCGTTACAAAAAATATTTATTTATAGAAAAACAAAGTACTCATCTCTGTATGAGAGAGAGAGAGAGAGAGAGAGAGAGAGAGAGAGAGAGAGAGAGAGAGAGAGAGAGAGAGAGAAATAGATACAATATTGAAATAATAGAATAAGGAAATAAGAATGACTCAAAATAATTCAAAACTGAATGAAAAAGTTTCATTTATTTCTGGGAAGTGCAAGTATGCGTTGATAAGGAGTACATTTCAGCAATTCAGAATTTCTCCATTCTGCACAGAGTAAAATCTTGATCTTAAAAACGACAAATCTTCACCAAACAATGACTGATATCATCAATCTATAAATCAATGGAAAGCATTTGAAGTGCCCTTTAGGATAATGCACATCGCTCAATCTCAATTTCTTAAATGTCGACCCAAGTTTTGTGTTGTGTTGTGAAGTTTTTTTTGTTTTTTTTTTTAATTATGCTGCATATTATAAGTCACAATAACAGTGAAACGGTTTACAATGATTTTTCTTGGTCTACTTTCTTTTCTGTTATCAAAAAAAAAAAAAAAAACCTGGCATGAGAATAGGCATGTATATTGTTTTTATATAGTATCTCCTAAATAGCGATGGAACAAAAAGCAGAATCTCAGCTTGTATAAACAGAAAAATAACGGTGCGGGCAATCATAAACTTTAAACTTGGCATCGAGTGAACACTTTCACATGAACAATATCCACTGCATGGAGTGAATTATTGTTTGGTTTATACCTGTTTTATTGTCACAGTGCATGACGTGAGGTGAAAAGGATCTTTCTCAGCTTGAAGAGCCAAAAGATGAGTTTCCTATGACTCTTGAGTGTGTTGATACAGGCCAGGTTAAAAAGTAGTAAAAGAAAAAAAAAACCCTCTGAGTTTACGCAAAGTGTTGAGTAGTTTGGTGATGAAATTGTCCGATAATGTTAAGTTCCCTGAAATTTCTGATTGCAATACTATTGAAGTGGAGCGGTCGCTAACTTGGCATATTTCTCATA